CAGGGTAGACGATCGTTTCCTGTTGGAAAGTCATGGAGAGCTTCAAATTGTCTTGAACTTGTGCATGCTGATTTGTGTGGGCCTATGAACACTGAGTCACTTGGAGGAAGTCGTTATTTTTTGCTATTAACAGATGATTATAGTCGTATGAGTTGGTTCTATTTCTTGAAATCTAAATCAGAAACATTTGAGAATTTCAAGAAATTTAAATCTTTGGTGGAAAAGTAAAGTGGCAGAAGCATAAAAGCACTAAGAATTGATCGAGGCGGTGAATTTTTGTCTAATAATTTCACTAATTTTTGTGATGAGCATGGCATACGCAGGGAACTTACAGCACCATACATGCCACAGCAAAACGGCGTTGCGGAGCAAAAAAATCGTATAGTGGTGGAAATGGCAAGGAGTATGTTGAAGGCAAAGGGACTTCCAAATAAATTTTGGGGAGAAGCTGTTGCAACATCAGTGTTTCTCTTGAATATCTCTCCAACAAGAGTCGTTCTCAATCAAATACCATATGAAGCATGGAGAGGTAATAAGCCTCGGGTGAGCCAATTAAAAATATTTGGTTGTGTTGCGTATGCTTTGGTTGATTCTCGTTCTAAGCTTGATGAAAAATCTGAAAACTGCATATTTATTGGCTATAGTCCTCAATCCAAAGCATATCGTCTATATAATCCAATAAGTGGCAAGGTGATAATCAGTAGGAATGTTGTGTTTAATGAAAAAGCTGTCTGGGAGGGGAATGTTACCAAGGAAGGTGCTGCAATTCAAGTTTCTACAGATGACATTGTTCAGCAAGAAGAACCACCATCACCTGGAGTCTTATCACCTGCAAGTTCTCATTCTTCTTCACTTGGTGGTAGTAGCAACACTAGTCCAGCAAGTTCCCCATCATCTAGCTCTTTAAGTGAAACGCCACCAAGAAAATTCAGATCCTTAAAAGAAATTTATGCTTCCTGTAACTTTGCTTTATTTGCCTCTGACCTAATTTGTTTTGAAGAAGCAGCAAAAGAACCCAAGTGGCAGTTTGCTATGGCAGAGGAGATGCAAGCCATTAAAAAAAATTCAACATGGGAATTGGTTAATGTTCCAGAAGGCAAAAAATATTATAGGGCTCAAGTGGGTGTTCCGAACAAAGTACAATGCTGATGGAAGTATTCAAAAGCAAAAAGCTCGGCTCGTGGCCAAAGGATACCCACAGTTGCCAGGTATTGATTTTGATGATACTTTCTCTCCCGTTGCTCGATTTGAAACTGTCAGAGTCATGTTGGCTTTAGCTGCTCAAATGCAACTCCCTGTGTATCAATTTGATGTGAAATCTGCTTTCTTAAATGGTGACTTAGAAAAGGAGGTTTATGTTACGCAACCTGAGGGCTTTGTTATCGATGGCAGTGAGAACAAGGTCTATATGTTAAGAAAAGCTCTTTACGGGCTGAAGCAAGCTCCACGTGCATGGTATAGCAAAATTGATGCTTTCTTTCAAGTTAGTGGATTCATTAGAAGTGCTAATGAGCATGCTCTTTACCTGAAGAAGCAAAATAATGGATTTTTTTTGGTGGTTTGTCTTTATGTGGATGATATGATTTATTTTGGTTCTTCGGAGTCTTTAATTGTTGATTTTAAGTCCAACATGATGAGAAATTTTGAGATGACAGATTTGGGATTATTGCAATATTTCTTGGGTCTTGAAGTAAAGCAAAGTGAAGAAGGAATTTTTGTGTGTCAAAAGAAATATGCAGCTGATTTGTTGAACAGGTTTAATATGAGTAATTGTGACGTGGCAGCTACACCTATGAATATTAATGAGAAATTGCAGCGACAAGATGGGACTGAGAAGGCGAATTCCAGATTATTCAGAAGTTTAGGTGGTGGTTTAAATTATTTGACACATACTAGACCTGACATTGCTTTCTCTGTTAGTGTTGTGTCCAGGTTTATGCATAATCCCACAAAACAACATTTTGGTGCAGCTAAAAGGATCCTTCGTAATGTAGCTAGAACACTTGATTTTGGTATTTGGTATTCCCATGTGTCAAATTTCAAGCTATTTGGTTTCACTGACAGCGATTGGGCAGGAAGTTTAGATGATCAAAGGAGCACTTGTGGCAATTGTTTTAGCTTTGGTTCTAGTGCAGTGACATGGATTTTAAAGAAGCAAGAAACAGTAGCTCTGTCATCTTTCGAAGCTGAATATACAGCAGCAACTGCAGCAACTCGACAAGCTATATGGCTAAGGAAACTACTTGCTGATTTTAACTATGAGCAAAGTGAAGCTACGGAGATATTCTGTGATAACAGATCCACAATTGCAATGACAAAAAATCCTATTTTTCATGGAAGAACGAAGCACATTGATGTGCAATATCATTTTATTAGGAAGCTGGTAGCTGATGGAATAATAGTGCTGGAGTTTTGTGGTACAGATGAGCAAGTAGCAGATATTTTTACGAAGTCTCTTCCCCTTGCCAAGCATCAAATTTTCAGATCACAATTGGGAGTATGTAACTTTGAATCAAGGGGGAGTGTTGAATGACTGATTCAAAGTTAGTTTCTATTGTTTAGGAGCATGAGTTCTTTTTGTTAGTTGACAGAGTCATTTAGTGGGTTTAGTGGCTAGTTAAGTTGTTCCTAATCTTACGTTGTTTCCGTTGTTCTACTGGCCTTATTTAAAGGTTAATGTATTTGTTTTTGTTTGTGTGGTAATTAGAATCCATTTTCAGCCTCTCTGTTCCAATACAAAATTCACATTTTATCTATTTACCAACAACAATTACATATTACCATGCAGGGTGCTGAAGAAAATTGATAAAATGTTCTCTGATTTTCTTTGGGATCATAAAGTCCCTCTGGTTTCCTGGGCTTCAATCTGTCAGGATAAAGAGTATGGAGGTTTGGGAGTATTTTCAGCAAGAAGTTGGAACTATACTGCTGCCATTAAACTATTGTGGATGGTCCATCTTAAGAAAGATCTCCTTTGGATAAAATGGGTGCATGGAAACTATTTACAACATTCTGATGTTTGGCATGTTCGGATGAAGGCTAGTGATTCATGGATGTGGAAACAACTTTTGAAAGTTAGAGACTTGATGATAGAAAGATTTGGGAGTATTAGCAATTTGAAAAATATTGTTGAACATTGTTGCAAAAGTGGAAAAGTTCAAATTTCCTCAATTTATAGGAATCTGTTGCAACCTGCACAGAAAGTTGCCTGGACTGGCACAGTGTGGGGTGGTCTTCATTATCCAAAACACCCTTTTATTCTTTGGTTAGCTATCCAATCAATATTGCTAACTAAGGAAAGACTATGTCATATGGGGATTTTAGATGCAAATCAAAATCTCTGTGTCTTATGTTCAAATCACACTGAAACAGGATGTCATCTGTTTTTTGAATGCTTATATTCTGCAACAGTGTGGAATTCAGTGATGGACTGGTTAAACTTCAATTGGAGATCATGTTCATGGGATGTGATCATATATTGGTATAGCTACAGGTTGAAGAAGAAAGGATGCTTTGAAAGTTTGAAGAGAATGGCCCTGTCATCTGCAGTATATCACCTATGGCAGGAGAGACATCTGAGGTTGCTCCAGTCTAAAACTCGTCAGCCTGAAGTATTGTTCCGAGCTATAAAGATTTTAATCCTCTCAAAAAATTTGAATAAGAAGTTTCCTGTACATATTAGGGAGAAATTTGATAAACTGTAAAGAAGTTTTCTTCTAGAGGAGGTACCAGGCTTAATCAGTCTGGTTGAGTGATGTATACAAAGTTTCATTTTGATAAATGAATAAAGTTTTTCATTGACCAAAAAAAAAAGAAAGTATCAAAGGCCAAGTGTTTTTGCTTTCTGGTATCAATCAGAGTCATCCATAATTATGTTGATATTATGGATATTTAGTGTGCAAGCCAAGATAGTTGAAGTGGAGTGGTTTTTGAAGTACAGTGTGACTTAGGACAGTCGCAAATTCCAAAATGACACTAATGATGGCAAAAATTCCAAAATTGGTTTTTTGATTTGCTGTTCATATCCATAGTAACACTCTGGGCTCTTGGAAAAGAATCCAAAATTGGTTTTTTGATTTGCTGTTCATATCCATAGTAACACTCTGGGCTCTTGGAAAAGAATACTTTCATTGTCTTGTATTTATTTTGACTGTTCATATCCATAGTAACACTCTGGGCTCTTGGAAAAGAATACTTTCATTGTCTTGTATTTATTTTGATTGTGAATGGCCTTATTTGTAGTCACTTCATCACTCATAGTCAAGATAAAAGTACTAATTACTGAGTAGCATCTTGATGAATTTGTTTTCCTTCTGCAAAGGCATGTTATTCTCAGGCATATCTGTAACTGATATGTTTGTCTGGCTATATAACACTAATTAACACTATCACATATTTGCTCTAACGCAACGGTTCAAAACCATTGCGCTAGCCATGGAACCGTCGCCCTTGAGCAAGTGCGACGGTTCTTAAACCGCCTCATATGCTGCCGTTGCCCTACCTCTATCGTAACGGTTTTGAACTCTATTGCGACGGTTTTTGAACCGTTGCCCCCACATCTAACGCAACGGTTTTAAAAGGCAAGCGGTTTTTAAGCCATTGCAACGGTTTTGATTGAGCTATTGCGACGGTTTTTAAGCTATTGCAGCGGTTTTGATTGAGCTATTGCGACTGTTTTCAAGCTACTACAGCGGTTTTTTTAGCTATTACAACAGTTTTAAAAGACCTAACATAACGGTTTTAATAGGCTAAAGCTATGGTTTTGATAGAGCTACGGTGACAGTTGGAACTATTGTAACAGTTTTAAAGGATCTAACACAACGGTTTTAGTAGGCTATAAGTATGGTTTTGATAAAACTACGGCGACAGTTGGAACTATTGCAACAGTTTTAAAAGAACTAACACAACAGTTTTGAACAAGTCAAATTTTAATACACAATATAAAAGTGATTATGTTGAGCATAATCAACCATAATGAAAAGTGCCAACATACATCAGTATAGTATAAAAACTACAAAGTATTAAATCCACACTACCAACATTTCAACTCAGAAAATATCGTACCGAACTAACATTCAAACAATGTACATCAACATTTGATTACAAAACATGAAACTTCTCGGTCAAAGACTATATTCTCTATTTGTTTCCAAAAACTTGTTCCTCAATGTCAAATACTCACTAGGAACCTATCAGTATCAATCTCAATCTTGGCTTTCATCATTTCTGTACCTGTGTAAATTTCCATGAATCAACAAAATTTTTGCAATGATCATAATAAAATTGGGGAAAAAAGATATTTGAAAAGGAAGTTAAGAGAACATATTGATTGTCTGTTCCTGCAAGTATACAACAATGTGCAGCATGAGGATCAGAATAGAAAAACAATCGAGGGTAAATTACAAGAAACCCCAGTTATCTTCATCTTCAAGAAACCCTTTGTCTAAAAGTTCAAGAAAAACAACTCCTCATCTATGATCACTAATTACACCGCTAATATCATAATAGTGTAGTTTGGTTCTTTAGACGTATGATAAAAATTTGAATTTCCATAAATAATGAAACTTGAATGCATGTTTGAAATTCAAAAACTGTTAACTAAGTTTGGATTTCAGTTCAAAGTTTGGTTAATAGACCCGGGCTTGCTCTCTACCCCCAACCAAAGAATTAGCTATTTTTGGCTAAATAAGTCGTGCATATTCATCCTCCACAACTTGAAATCCATCTCAATCAAACTTTTTCCATCTAGATATATTTTTGCACTCTCCATGTTGCAAAAGCTTTCCTCTCCTTAGCAGTACTAAAAAAATCACTCTATAACCCATAACCTTAGGGCATATATGGCAACTGGTCAAACTGGCTTATAAGCCACTACGACTCCAAACTAAATAAATAAGGGTGAATTATAGAAGATAGTCCTAAGGTTTACATTAGTGACAAAAAGACCCCATAAGATTTGAAATGTGACAAGTTGGCCGTTCTGCTTCGTTTTCCACTAAATTAACTTGAAGGCAAACGCTATGATTCTAGAATATGACGGTCATATGTGTTCCTACAAAAACATATAGATGATTATTGAATTAGAAAACAATGGTTACGCACGAAAGATGACGATTGTTTTACTATAAAAATGAGGAGGGTAAAGCAGATCTTTATGTAATTCACGCAACAGATATTTTTAGTACTGTTTGAAAAAGTAATACCAAAATCATAATGTATTAGGAACCTATTTTCAAAAAGTTACATGCTAGCATAGATATTACTTTATTAGCCAAAAAGGTAAAGTTTGAAAAAGTAATACCAAAATCATAATGTATTAGGAACCTGTTTTCAAGCATGATTTGATATTTTTTTAATAATGGCAACTAGTAGAGTGCCTTATGGATGCTCTGTTACATAGTTTCAAACACTGCAAACAACATTGCATATTCTTATCACAGGAGAGTAGCATATATCATGAACTAGACAATTTTTCTCAGTTTCGTTTAGTATCCCATGCAACAAATATTACATAGTAGCTTCATTATAACCATAATTACAAAGTACATGATAAGTTAATTAGTAACTAAGTATTAGACAAATAACAAAGTAACAATGTCCTTTCTCTTTCAATGAAGTGCACATTAGCACCGCCGACAGACTTGAAAGAGCTCCCTATCATAAATTTCATTACGAATGGGTTCATTCAAGTAAGTTTGAGTTGCAAACGTTGAGCGCATGATATTTAATTTGATGGGAGGTGTGAGCTTGTGGGAGCAAGTGCTCAATAAATGAATAAAGAACCCATCTGTTCGGAAAACTCATCAATGTGGATGGTTTTGTCAATTGTAAGAGGGACAATATCCCCTCTTTTATGGCAGATACACCCAGTAAGTATTTATTGGTTTTTTTGGGGTCCAGTAAATAGTTTTGTGAATGTAACACTGAGAAATTGGTATTTTGTATTGGCTGATTTAAAGCCAGCATGAGTTCTTTAAGAAAAATTTCCCAAGGACTCTAAATATGGGACCAACAGGCGGAACATGTGAGGTGTCTAACTCCTATTGCATAATAAGCTGGCTAATGAATTGAAAATTCTTAGGCTTCCCAAACAATGAATTTAGGATTGAGAATTCTAGATTTAAAATTACCTCAAATGATCTCTTCTCTTTTGAACTTGATCTAGAATCACCCACTGCTTCCATCGCTTAAAGAGACGTGATTAACTAGTAATAAATGAAAAGAATCACATAAGTACTAGATACATGAAAAATAGATAATAAAAACTAGCTAAGAGAAGAATAATATAGATCACTTGTTTAAGTAGCTACCATTGCAGTATTAACAAGTTATGAATAGTGATAACGAGGATGCATTTGTCAAAGTAAAACATGTATAAACTGAAGTCACTATAGGTTAACAAGATCATAAATTCATCTATGTCACTATAGGTTAACAGTGTGTTAATGTTGAATTAAAGCAGTAGAAGTCTATGTCCAATATCTACACAGAGGTTTGACCTGTGTCAAGGCAACAAAGACTACATATATAAATGCTGCAACACTGTAATTGAGTACACTTCAACTAACTACACATGGAATCAGTCAACAATACCAAACTTGATAATCATAGTTCACAACCTAAACTGCAATCCAAGCTCCAATCTTAAGCTCACATTGTACAAGAATTGAACATATTGTAAACTAAGAACCTAAGCCTGCTCTCTCTTTTACATAAAAAAGATTAGTTCCTACAGAAAGATAATAAGTGTCAAATTCAGTTTTAACTGTTGCAATTAAGTAATAGCTAACGATAGATTGGTTAACTGCTCCTTCCTATTTTCTGTACTGACAAAGTCTACTGTTGTATTTTATGAAATAAGAATCTGTTCAAGATCTATTGTCCATTGATGGGCTAACAACTCCTTCCTATGTCTACACTGGCAGAAAGTCTATGGTGGTATCATCTGAAATGAGAATCTATATCAGATCTTCATAGCGTAAATGGTTAGCAATTAAGAAGACAGTATCCTGGACATAGCTTTTCTATAAAAATAACAATCTAACACAAAAGCTTTCAGTATTAGGAAATTAATTAGTTTGATGGTTCAAGTAGATTTTGTGTCTTTGTGCACAAACCATGTGCATGATTTTCCAGTGTGAGTTCAAGTTATTGTGGCCAATATGATCTTTGTGAAACATTCATTTTGTGAGAACTTTTGACATAGTAAGTAACACTAAAACATTTGATGTGTTTGATACGGAGTTCCATATGTTGTAGGTCTGAAGGAAACTAGATATTAAATATGTCTTAACTGAAGACTGTAATTCTGTGCATCAATACCATAATTGTTCCTCTTTGTTTAGATTGTCTAGGAGTATTTTGGGATGTTGATCCGTGGTGCATGCGCCTCAACTATTTGATTGTTGAGTTATATTTACCAATGTGTACCACTCCTGTCGGGCTACCAATCCTTTAGTACGTCATTGTTCATGAAATAGTACTGGAAGTTACTGGTTGCACATAAAAAGCGAATATCAGAATGTGGGTACCCCCAAGATAGCATGAAATTCTTCCTTGGCAGTTACCAACCTATCAGTGTCGCTCGAGTCAACCACAAAGGAACAAAAGATGAATGCTATGCACTTGAAATTGGCAAGTCATATAAGGAAATAATAGTATAAATCTTGCTGCAATTTTCTAAAGATTATAGTATTTGCATCATTGGTTCTATAATCTAATTGTACATGTTTTTGTGTTAATAAAGAGTTTAAGAGCATTAATATTGATTTCAACATTCAAGCTGTAAGAGCTCTGGATCTCTTCCTGTGAAGACCATGGCAAGATGCTCTGGAGTGGACTAGTTGATAAGCTCGTTGATTGGACAAGGCTATGAAAATTGTCAGTTACTTAACCTGCTCATATGCTCCCTTCTAACCTGGTCATAAGGCAAGCTTTTATCCTTTTAATATCCTAAGCTTATCTGCATACTCTGATTTCTCTGTTGGTATTGTACGGGCTTGCTTACCAATTCATGCTCGCAAATGCAAATGTGCAGGCAAACGCAAATAAGCTATATTGTGTCAAATATGATTGTTTCTACCTTTTATTAAGCACTACGCTTTTTCTGGTAGATTTTCTGCCTTTAGCATACCAATTCACTATGCTTCAAGAATCAGCGCGTGCACCTCTTTGCAGTTTCCAATTTTCTTAAAAGATGCTTTATGTTCTCTTTTTAAACAGGTCCAAAAAGTACTTAAACCTCACTTGCAATTTAAGTAAAAGTTAGCAAATTATAGAAGGTAGTCTGTAGGATATCCATCAATGTAACTGAATAAAAGATGGACTGTAACTGAACAAAAAAATGCTATGTAACTGAACAAAAGATGGGCATCACATATATAGGAAGGTTACTAAGAAAATCATACATCCCATATAACTGAACAAATTGATGAAATTTCTTAATCCTGAACAAATTTCTTAATCCTGGAAACGATCACAAGTTACAGACAGGAGGGTTACTAAGAAAATCATACATCCCATATATAGGATGAGTTTTGTATCGGACTGTACACTAGCATAACCGTAAACTTCTATCAAATTTTCATAAAAACTCAAAGTAATCACGTGCAAAATACCTGACTAACTCCCTTCAAATGCAAGACTAGGACATTTAAGAGAATGCATCCATCAGCTGCAAAATTGATGAAATTTGCGGGCTTGATTGCTGAAAACACACTCTAGAAAGCTCCCGCTAGCGAGATCTGAGCTCGATTTCTGGAGAAAACCCTAGAAAACAGGGAAGGAGAAATTACCTGAAACGAGGGTAGTTCGATGACGAGAATGACAACAAGCTCGACAACGATGAGATCGGAGAGGATATTGGAGATGAGATCGGAGAGGAAAACGGCGACGAGTTCAGTGATGAGATCGGAGAGGAAACGGCCACGACGATTTTAGGGTTCTTTTTTGACGGCGATTTTTGGGATCAGAGATGCTATTCTCGTTTAAGCGGTGGGGACAATGGGCTTTACAAACTTAAAGCTCCTGAACAAAGCCCACAAACAATTATTAAGTCCAGGAATAATTATTAGGTCTATGGCAACGTTTTTCATTAAATGTTGTATTAGATACTGAAAACTGTTACGATAAATCTTTAACGCAACAGTTAAAACCGTTGCGCCTTAACTGTTGCGGTAGATTAATTATATGGTAGTGTAAAATCTATAGCTCAACCAAATAATGCTTTATAAAATTGAATGTATTAGATGAAGTATCATCTATAGGAAATAAGTAGCTAAGTTTGTCTAGTTGGCCAAGTGTTCCTTAATTTAGGATTCACTTGGAATCTACAAGCAACAAGAACAAGACCTTTATTACAAACTTTAGGGATTAACAACTTATCAAATTATGTTCTTTGATTTTGAATATTGACTTTGATTTTGTATGATAAATGACAGATTTTTTTTTTCTATTGAAAGATGTTTACATAATGACTCGATTAGTAAGGAAAGAAAATAGGAGGAGGAATGACGAGGTCAATGCTGAATTCAAGGTTGTTCATTGGTTCTATGAAGCCATAAAACATACCGTGAAGAGTAATTCTTTGAGGCGTTCTTACATTGCGAAAGACCGAAAGGCAAGAGCTTACTTACAAACCCTAGTGTATTCTAATGATTATCGTGGCTTGTGTTCAGCCATTTTCGATCCATGGAAAGTGTTAATCGACATTTTAATAACATTATTGGTTGTATTGTGAGACTTCAGAGGACGTTGTTAAAAAGTCCCTCATCAGTTCTGGAAAGCTGTATGGATGGGAGGTGGAAATGGTTCAAGGTAATACTTATATCTTTTATTCATAACTTGATGTTTTTTCGGAAGGATATGTTGTTTTTCATATCAACCTTTTTTTTTGTCTATTCAAGGGTTGTTTAGGAGCATTCGGCTGCGAGGAATGTCATTGAGAGATCATTTGGTCTATTGAAGAGGCGATGGGCAATATTGCGAAGTCATTATTATTATCCGATAAAAGTCCATAATATGATTATCGTGGCTTGTGTTCTGCTACATAACTTTATTAGACCTGAATCGGAAAACGATCCATTTGAAATTGATAATCTTGAAGAATATGAGGTTGAAGAAGGAGAACAAAATGAAAATAATGAAGTTGAAACAATAACATCCATGGGAACATCAAATGAGCGGTCTCAATTTAGAGCAAATTTAGCAAGTACTATGTATAATCATAGTCTTGCAAGTGGAAACAATACATGAATTTACTAATGAACATCTTGGTAATTGTGGTGTTTTCTATAATTCATTATTTTCTAGGCACATGAGTTATGACAGTTCTTGTGTAAATAATATGATGTGGACTTGCTTTTCAGGTGACAGATTACAAATTGAAGATTGAGAGATTTAAAGGTAAAGCTTGTGAGTGGTAATTTCTATTATTTTTCTTATTTTAGTGTTACTTTTGATAGGATATATCAAAATTAGTAATGCATGCCATCTGTATAAAATTAAGGGAAAAATGCTTCCAGCCCCCAAAAACTAAGGAAACATGCTTCCCACCCCAAGACTTTGTCAACGGGTGTTTTACCCCCAAAAATAAAGATTCTGTTCTCTGAGCCCCCAAAACACAAAACCCAAGACATTAAAACATGTGAAGACCATAATACCCTTCTCTCTCTCTTTCTTTTTTTATTAAAATATGATGAAGATTATTTTATTATTTTCGTTTTCTCGCTCTCTTTATCATGATGTACTGAGATGATATTTGAAATGATTGATGAGGATTATTTTATTATTTTCGTTTTTTATTATTTTGGTTATTTGTATTGGGAGATTGTTAAAGTTACGGGTTAATTGTTAAGGTTACGAGTTAATTGTTAATGTTACGGGTCAATTGTTAAGGTTATGAATCCTCTCTCTCTCTCTTTCTTTTTTTATTAAAATATGATGAGGATTATTTCATTATTTTTGTTTTCTCTCTCTTTATCATGATGTACTAAGATGATAGTTGAAATGATTGATGAGGATTATTTTATTATTTTCGTTTTTTATTATTTTGGTTGTTTGTATTGGGAGGTTGTTAAAGTTACGGGTTATTAATGTTATGTATCCCCTCTCTCTCTCTCTCTCTCTCTCTCTCTCTCTCTCTCTCTCTCTCTCTCTCTCTCTCTCTTTCTCTATCATGATGTTTCTTTGATGATATTGAAATGATTAAAGAGGATTATTATTTTATTATTTACGTTTTTCATTCTTTTTGTATTTTTAGAATATTCGTTGTTAAGGATAATGGTTGGTTGTAAAGGTTATGCATTGATTGTTAAGGTTACGGGTTGGTTGTTAAGGTTAAGGGTTTGTTGTTAATGTTATGGATTTGTTGTGTAGGTTACAGATTTGTTGTTAAGGTTACGGGTTTAATTGTTAAGGTTACGGGTTTAATTGTTAAGGTTACGTGTTTAATTGTTAAGGTTACGGGTTTAATTGTTACGGTTACGGTTTATTAATTGTTAAGGTTACGGTTTAATTGTTAAGGTTATGAATTTAATTGTTAAGGTTACGGGTTTAATTGTTAAGGTTACGGGTCAATTGTTAAGGTTATGGATCCCTTCTCTCTCCCTCGTAACCTTAACAATTAAACTCGTAACCTTAACAATTAAACCGTAAGATTAACAATTAAACCGGTAAGATTAACAATTAAACCCATAACCTTAACAATTAAACCGTAACCTTAACAATTAAATCGTAACCTTAACAATTAAACCCGTAACCTTAACAATTAAAACCATAACCGTAATAATTAAACCCGTAACCTTAACAATTAAAACTGTAACCTTAATAATTAAACCCGTAACCTTAACAATTAAACCCGTAACCTTAATAATTAAACATGTAACATTAACAATTAAACCGTAACCTTAACAATTAATAAACCGTAACCGTAATAATTAAACCCGTAAACTTAATAATTAAATACGTAACCTTAATAATTAAACCCGTAACCTTAACAATTAAACACATAACCTTAACAATTAAACTCGTAACCTTAACAACAAATCCGTAACCTATACAACAAACCCATAACCTTAACAACAAACCCTTAACCTTAACAACCAACCCGTAACCTTAACAATCAATGCATAACCTTTACAACCAACCATTATCCTTAACAACGAATATTCTAAAAATAAAAAAAGAATAAAAAAACAAAAATAATAAAATAATAATCCTCTTTAATCATTTCAATATCATCAAAAAAACATCATGATAGAGAGAGAGAGAGAGAGAGAGAGAGAGAGAGAGAGAGAGAGAGAGAGAGAGAGCCCGTAACATTAACAATTAATTCGTAACCTTAACAATTAACCCATAACTTTAACAATCTCCCAATACAAACAACCAAAATAATAAAAAATAAAAATAATAAAATAATCAAAATAAAAATAATAAAATAATCTTCATCAATCATTTCAACTATCATCTTAGTACATCATGATAAAGAGAAAGAGAAAAATAATAATCATCATCATATTTTAATAAAAAAAGAAAGAGAGAGAGAGAGGGGATTCATAACCTTAACAACTGACCCATAACATTAACAATTAACTCGTAACCTTAACAATTAACCCGTAACTTTAACAATCTCCCAATACAAACAACCAAAGTAATAAAAAACGAAAATAATAAAATAATCCTCATCAATTATTTTAACTATCATCTTAGTACATCATGATAAAGAGAGAGAGAAAACAAAAATAATAAAATAATCCTCATCATATTTTAATAAAAAAAGAAAGAGAGAGAGAGAAGGGTATTATGGTCTTCACATGTTTTAATGTTTTGGGTTTTGTGTTTTGGGGGCTCAGAGAACAGAATCTTTATTTTTGGGGGTAAAACACCCGTTGACAAAGTCTTGGGGGGTGGGAAGCACGTTTCCTTAGCTTTTGGGGGCTGGAAGCATTTTTCCCTAAAATTAAACTAGATATACTTTGGTAGTTTTAATAACGAATTAAATGCAGGATGCTGATCGATCATTGACGGGAGAAGCCAGTGTTGCTGGAGCATTGGAATCAAAGTTGAGAATGTAATCAAGTAAGCGACATATGTACATGCTCCTTCCAAATGAGCAGCATCTTTTATTTTTTAGAATTTACTACAATCAAAATCACAATACCTTGGTTAAACTAATTAATAATCATCGTATGTTTGAAAATTTTATGGATCTAGGTAAGTACTCTTGTAGGTATATGAGATTGTCACTCAACCTAATGAAAACTATCTCAGATCTTTTTGCGCGATCACAACAAAAGATTATGTAGATTTGAATTTCAGGCTCAGGATTCAGGCAGACAGGGTGGCGGTCGACCGTGGCGGTCCGACCGACTGTTCGTGTACATTGGTCACTATACATCTGGATCAGTGGCGGCGTCGACCGCCGTGGTCGAACGCAGAAGTTTCTGCTTTTGCCGCGCGGCTCGACCGCTGCGGTCGACCGCAGAAGTCTCTGGAGTTTTTTGGACTGTTCTGGAGTTGAGGCGGACGCGGCCCCCCGCCCCCGCGCGCGCGGCGCCTTCGCGATGACGCGATGGGGTATCAGGGAGATCATGGGTGGCGGCGGGGGGCGAACGTGGGCGGTCGGACGCGAGAATCGCGTCGGACCGTTGGCGCGGTCGACCGCGATGGATCACGGTCGACCGCCGCGGTCGACCGTCGAAGCGGGTTGGGCTGGGTTTTGTTTCCAGATCCGTTTTGTTTGTGAGTTGTATAAATACCCCAAACTCGTTTTTTAGGGTTTGTGGGAGAGGATTTTGAGCTGATCTAAGAGGAGATTTGGGGCTTCTATTGTTGGAGCCATTTGGAGAGATTGAGATGGCTTATTTGAGGGTTTTGGTAAGATTTGTAACCCTAACTTGTATTCCCTTTGATTTCTAATAGTAAAACTCCCCCCTCCTTGCCCTGTGGACGTAGGCACATTACCGAACTACGTATCTTGTGTTCTTGCTGTGATTGGGTTGCTTGTGACTATTGTGATCTATTTTGGTTCTTGTGTGTGCTATTGATTTTGTGTATTGGGCTTCCGCGGCGCACAACAAGTGGTATCAGAGCACCGGGTTGGATTTGGGAGTTTATTCGAAGGATTCACTGTTGGGTTCTTGTTGGGAGAGTAGATCTACAATATGGTTGAAACAAGCAAGGCTAGTTCAAGTGCTACAAGTACATCAGGATCGACTTTGACAAAAGCGATCCAAAGTTTGAGCATCAATAATACTAAAATTTATGTTCCTAAAATCGACGGCAAGATAAATTTCGGCTTATGGAGGTATCAAGTAATGGACGCCTTAGATGCACAAAATTTAGAGGAGACTCTTGAGCTACAAGAGAAACCCGAAGATGTTGAAGACAAGGTTTGGAAGAAAATGAACAGTAGAGCTTGTGGGGTGATTCAGTCATGCTTGACGCCGGATCTCATTTATGATGTGATGAACGAGACGTCGGCAAAGAGATTGTGGGAAACGCTCAATGAAAAGTATTTGACGAAGAGCATTGAGAATATGCTTCATTTGAAGAAAAGGTTCTACCAATTCAAGATGAAGAGGGGAGTTTCCATTCGGGAGCATGTCAACAACTTCACAAAACTAATTTCGGATATGGCCAATGTGGATATTATGGTTGAGGATGAAAACAAGGTAATGTTATTATTGTGTTCGTTGCCGGATGATGAGTTTGGTACATTTGTTCTCACTATGATAAATGGATGAACTACAGTTAGCTACAAGGAGGTGACCTCAACATTGGTAAATTATGAGTCGAGGAAGAACGATGGTGGTCGTAGTTCAAACCGCCAAAGATTCAACCGCTCAAAATCAAAGAATAGGGGTGGCCATAAGAGTGTTGGTAGAAATCAATGTGCTTTTTGCAAAGAAAAGGGACATTGGAAGAATGAGTGCCCAAAGTTAAAGGATAGAGCCAGAAGCAAAGGGGGAAAGCTGTACAATCTTCAGAGGTGAATGTTGCTAAGGTTGTTGGTGACATTTCAGATTCGGATTCTTCAGGTTATTCTTGTCCCGCACTGCCGTCAGTTTGTTATGCCGACTCTACGGAGTGGATGCTTGATTCGGGAGCTACATTTCACATTTGTCCTAAGAGGGATTGGTTTACTAACTTTGAGGAGTTGAAGAGAGGAGACGTGGTGCTCATGGGGAACGATCATGTTTGTCCTATTAGTGGGATTGGCTCAGTCAGAATCAGAATGCATGACGGGGTGACTAGGGAATTGAAAGAAGTGAGGTTCGTGCCGCAGTTGACGAAGAACCTCATTTCTCTTGGGACTTTGGAGGCATCCGGCTATAGTGTGATCTTAGAAGATGCTAGTTTGAAGGTCATGAAGGGGTCCATGGTGGTGACGCGAGGTGTCAGGGAAAACAACCTATACTACTTGAAGGGTAAGACAGTTACATGGGGTCTGACTGCTTCTATCACACAGAGGAGGACACTACCACACTATGACACATGAGGTTTGGACACACATGAGATAAGTCTCTACAGTCATTGGCAAAACAGGGGCTTTTGAACGGTGCAAAGACCTGCAAGATGGAGCTGTGTGAGCATTGCATACTTGGGAAGAAGACTAAAGTGAAGTTCGGCACCGCTATTCACAAAATCCAAGGTATATTAGACTATATTCACATGGATGTTTGGGGTCCTTCCAAGCACACATCGCTTAGTGGGGCAAATTATTTTGTCACTTTCATTGATGATTATTCCAGGAGGAATTGAGTATATACCATGAAGCATAAACATGAGATCCTGGATATATTTGTGGAGTGGAAGAAGAAAGTGGAGCTGCAGACAGGTAGAAAGGTGAAGACTCTTCGTTCAAACAATGGTGGAGAGTATAAGAATGATCCATTTCTGCAGTTTTGCCGGGATCATGGCATTAGAAGACACTTCACAGTTAGAGAAACACCACAACAGAACGGGGTGGCCGAGAGATTGAACCGTACCTTACTGGAGAAGGTGCGATGTATGATGATGCAGAGTGGATTACCTAGATCTTTTTGGGCTGAGGCGCTGGTTTATGCGAGCCATCTCGTTAACAGGTTGTCGTGCACTGCGATAGAGGGGAAGACTCCTTTGGAGCGTTGGTCTGGTTCTGTGGCTAGTGATTATGAGACTCTTCGGATTTTTGGGTGTCCAGCTTATTTCCATGTTAGTGATGAGAAGTTGAATCCGAGAGCGAGGAAGACTATCTTTGTAGGGTTTAGAGAAGGTGTCAAAGGCTTCAAATTATAGGATCCACAAGACAAGAAGATGGTCATTAGCAGAGATGTCACATTTGATGAGGCGTACATGATGAAGCCTCGAGTTCCTCAGCAGGTAGAGGAAGATCAGACAGGAGGGATATCACAGCAGGTGGAGGTTGATGTGACTCCACCCACTCCAGACAGCACTGTGTCCATTGAGGCTCCTACAGGTGTGACACTGGGAGGAGATGAGATGACAGACGGGCATGTGGAGGATACAGTGGATGGTGAGGCTTAGGAACAAGGTCATGCTCAGGGGTCCATTGTAACAGATAAACCGAGGAGAGAGATTCATCGGCCAGCTAGATATGATGCTGTCATGGTGGCATATGCTTTATCTGTGGAGGTCGTTGATGATTTGGTTCCTACCGCATTCAGGGAGGCAGAGTCTAGCCCTGATTCTATTAGGTGGAGGAATGCTATGGAGGAGGAGATGCAATCTCTTCAGAAGAACGACACTTGGGAACTTGCAAAGCTACCTAAGGGTAAGAAAGCTATTGGTTGCAAGTGGGTGTATGCTAAGAAGGAGGGATCTTCTATTAGGGACATTTAGTTCAAAGCCATATTGGTTGCCAAGGGATATACACAGCTTGAGGGCATTGATTACAACGAGGTATTTTCACCCATTGTAAAGCATTCATCTATTCGGATTCTATTGGCATTGGTGGCACAGCTGGATTTAGATTTGGTCCAAATGGACGTGAAGACGACCTTTGTACATGGAGACTTAGACGAGGAGATCTACATGACATAACCTATGGGGTTTAAAGCTACAGGAAGGGAAAGTTTGGTGTGTAAATTAAAGAAATCTCTTTATGGACTGAAGCAATCACCGCGATAGTGGTACAAGAGATTTGATAGCTTTATGATTGGCCAAGGGTACACGATGAGCCCTTATGACCCGTGTGTTTATATGCGCAAGCTACAGGATGGTGAGCACATTTATTTGTTATTGTATGTTGATGATATGCTCATAGCTTCCAGGAACACTTCAGCTATTGGGAAATTGAAAAAGGAGCTATCATCTGAATTTGAGATGAAGGACCTGGGAGAGGCTAAGAGGATACTGGGTATGGAGATTGAGCGAGACAGGGTGAAGGAGAGATTGAAGCTTACACAGAGGAGTTACTTGCAGAAGATGCTGAAGAAGTTCAGTTTTGAGGGTAATACCAAGCTGGTGAGTACTCCATTAGCATCCCACTTTAAGCTTTCAGCTTCGATGTCACCAGTTTTAGTGGAGGATCGAGACTACATGTTCAAAGTTCCATATGCCAGTGCAGTGGATAGCTTGATGTATGCTATGGTGTGTACTGTTAGCCCTTATGTTTTGATGATGTTTTACAACCACCATTATCGGTACTAATGGCTTATTAAGTACAAATGTAGTGAAATCATATATCAAGCTTGTTAGTACCACAAATGGAGGATTGGATGGAATATGCGCTCAACGATGATATCCAAAGGAGGAGGAGGCATAGTGATGAAGCAACGTTATTTGAAGAACAACAAATTCAAATAGAAGCTTCATCAAATTCAAGCTATATCAAGACTCAAGTATTGCATTCTATAAGAGGATATTAGCTATCTTTTATTTTTCTCTCTAGTGCTAGAATGTAGGCAAAGAGTTATTGACTTCACTTGAAGCTATTGGGATATCACACACACGTTTTCATACTTATGTTTTTAAGCGTTTTTCACAAAATACTATTTTTCACAAGTATGAGGACCTATTTGCAAAATTCCTTTTCAAAACAGTTTGTGTTTTGCATTAAAAACATTTTACAAAGTTTCATAATT